TTGCTGCTTTTTTCTGTTTTACATCAGTGTAAACTGTATTTGGCAGGCAAAAGACAACGTGACAACATTATCTGAGAAACTGTGATTGAAGGTATAATTGGCAGATTAACAATAATTAAAATAATTCTTAGTTGCTAATGCTAATGAACCACAATGTGGCACTGAGTGACATGGCCCTTTGTTAAAATGAGCATGGGCATTGTAGTATTGCAGTTTATATCGAGTTAATCGCACATAAACCATCCTAATGGAGTTCACGGCGGTTTAAGACATATATCATATTATCACATCATTTATAATCTCAATATCCCAAGTTCTATTCCAGGGATTCCTCTCTCTCTCTCTCTCTCTCTCTCTCTCTCCCTTCGTGTTTCATAGCTAATAAGAGAAAAACATATAACTGGTAAATACTCTCTATAGTGCCACAATTGAAAATAGTCCCCAACAAATGTTAACTCATGTTTGAGTAACCTTTGCTAAATGTACACTGTCAAGCTGTTTCACTTAGCGCTTAAAAACAATTTAACAATATATTAATAAACATTTTATAAAGATTCTTTAGGATAAACCAATGCGTTTCAGGCCACAGACAGCATGAGGAAGTCAGAAAACAGTAAAAAATGAACAAACAAATAGTTGGTTTTGGTCGGTAATAACAAAAATATGGACTCAGTTTCCTTCAACATGGTCTCAACATTGTTTCAGGATTGTACAACCTAATACAACTAAATACAACCTCTTAACCATTCCCCAGAATGCCCACACTCTCCCCCCGAAGACACAAAGAGAGAGGACATGACATCAACATGCTGCAGCCCGGGTCTGAGGTCACCACCATGCTGTCTCTGTCAGTCCTCGCCTCCCTAAACTCTTTAACTGCTCTGTGAGTCAAAGATCTTGGCAAGCATTGTGAAGCAGAAAAACAAGATGTTTGAAACAAGCTACAGTGGTTATTGTTGGCAGCAGCAGCAAACCAAATAGAGGTATAAGGCAGTGTAAAGAAAGCCTGGGGGTCCTTATACAACCCCACATTCATGAGGACTACGTGATGCCAGAGACAGCAGAAGTGCCCCTGACACGGCTCAGATGGAGAGAGGCCTGTTGAGCCAGCAGCAAATTAGCTCTGAGTAGAATCCAGTTAAATATTTTGTGAAGCCAGACTGTTTTGTAATGTCTCACTTAATTAAGATAACTCAATCACTGAAAAATAAAAGGCATAATGCTTTGGTCAAAGTGAATAAGTCATTCTTCCTTTGGTTTAGTGTATAGTAAAGACAATGCTGTTGGACTACAACACTTAATTTTGCCCAAAAGCATTCCCTTTTTATTTTGAAAAACCTGACCTGAATTTGAGTCATCACAAACAAAATAGGGTAATTTACACTCTGAGGGTAATTGTTTGTGACACAACCTAAAGGCTCTTGTAGACCAGTGCAATGAAACCCAGAATAGTGAAATCTGGGACAAACTCAGTGACTGTGTCTTCCTCTCATGCATACCTAATTCAACCTATGGGTATAATGCAGCTACAAAACCACACACTGAAACAATCACATTACCTTCTCTAGGTGTACTGTCTTTGAATTCCACTCACACTCAATAATGCATTAATAACTTCTTTTCTACTGCTATAACCAGTGTCCAAACCGAATTCAATTCAATTATGAACATTATGAACATAAATTGGCAGGCAAGCTGCAGCCCCGTAATGCGATTACATCACATGCACTTAAATTGCCTTCTATTACTCTATTTCCTGTCCTAAAGAGCTCAATTCACAGAGAATCAGGAAGCTAATAAAAGCGGGCATAAATCTTTTTTTGAATGCATAATTATGTAACTACCTGCATGTAACCCAACAGCTTGGTATGAAGGCTGCAGGCACAGACCGTATGCATTGTCAGTCCCTCTTTCTAACCAATAATGGTGCTTATTGGAGAACCCTTCACTCTGGCTCTCATCGAGCCCACGTTCAGAAGATAAACAGATGAGAAAAAGCGCATGTTTATATTACTGGACATGGCTGCAGCTGCTGGTTACACCAGTACTGTCAGGGAGAAACATGTTACATAAACTTGCAAATGCCAGATTCACACCGTCCACGTGATCCGTTTGTTATTGTCAACCCCAAATGCATGTAGGCTATGCCAATGCAGAACATGGCATTATAGGAAAAAAGAAAAAAAATCCTTTCACATTTCACTCAAGTGTGGGCAAAGGCATGCTGCCACACGTCCTTGCAGCTTAAAATGCATCTTACATTTCAATGTTATTACAAGAGGAAGCATGCAGAGGCATGAAAATAAAACAAAAAGCACCTTCAGGAATCAGCTGCATGTGTAGGCTGTCATCGAATTCTTCATCTTTCACATTGCGAAAACATGCATGTCTACCATGAGCCAAAATAAGCAACAGGAATACATTAAAAATACCAAATTCACATTTTTTTTAATCACCTGGTGTCGAAATCCTCCACCTTCCTTGTCAAGTTCACAAAACCATAATTGTGCGTCGCGGAGTCTTGAAGTCTTTTTCCTCCCCGCTGTCTGAGCTCAAGTCCTCTCGATCAGTCCCTCCGAGATGCTGAAGAGAAACCAGCCCGCTGATTGGCTGCCGCCGTGTGCGACGAGCTTGTTTTCTTGTTGCCTCGTCGTTGTGGGATGTTGATGGTGCTCCAGTGCTCAGTGGAGCGCCGATAAACAAGCGGTTTGAGCTCGGAGCATCTTTCTGGTGCTTTGAGAGGCGGGGATGGAAGATATAAACAAAAGGAGGTGGGTGGTTTTATATGGAGGATCATTTACAGCTTCATCAATAAACAACCAGTGACAGATCACTATAGGAAGGAGAGGCCAATGGTCACATACAGTGGCAATAAAAATATTTGATCCTTGCTCTTTTCCTGCACAGGATGTCTCAATGTCCTCATGGTGGATAGCACTGTTGGTGGTCAGGGAACTGACTCTGAAAGGGACTACACTTAATTTTATAATCATATAAATTCTCTTTTGCCAAACAAATAAACAATTTTACATCCTCTCAAAAATGATGCTTATCTTCCCAATGCTGCCCCCTGAAACTTCCTCATCTGATGTCCAGTGAAGTAATGTGTTACACAACCAGCAGTCGCCTAATGGCTGGACATGGACGGACATTATGTAACTTCTAGCATTGCTGATGATTCAAATGGTATAGCAGTACCAAGCTTTGAGATGCACAATTCAAAGACATGGGCAAGCAGTAAAAACATGCATGCCTATGAGCAGAAGAAAGAGCTCAGAATAGTGATCATAATGAAAGCAGCCTGGACTAAGTGTAATTACTTGATGATATAATACTCCACCTCAAGCTGCTTCAATTGCGCCACTGTGTGGTTAAAAGCAGCCTCTACTGTCAGATGTAGCATCAGCATTTACAATGAAACCACACTACGCAGAAGGAACATAATGATTTAATCTTACTTCTTTAGAAAAGGTTCACTGGACTGAAAAGATCTTCCTTGATATCAAACTTGTGGCATCCTGTTCAAGTCAACCTTATATATATATACTGTAGGCGTATGATCATGAGGCTCTGTTTCATGAAGTAAATTTCATGAATAGTTTATGAGAGCTGCATATCTTTTCCCTGAGCCTCTTCATCTGACTTTGGCTTCCAGCATTTGAAATTTCTCAAAAATGTCTCCTTTCATGGAAACTAATAAATAGAAGAGGAAGCATAATATTTACACACAACTTGTGTAGTTTTGTAACATGGATTATTTTCTTTACTTAAACTGATGGACTAGTGTTTGAGGCTTCAACCTTTTGGTAAGACAGCAAACAATACAAAGAAGGATAAAACATTATTATTTACATACAGAGATTGACAATGAATTTAAAAAATGCTCTGGACTCTTGACTCAGTGCTGATTAGGGCTGCACAATTATTTGAAATATTATTGAAATTGCAATATGTCCAAGTTAATATCTAAATTGCAGAAGTAGTGTGTAGTGTTTTGATAAAATGTAAAATATAAACTAATAGCTTTATAATGTACTGTAGTTCTGCAGAGATGCCTAAACCTACAAATCTTGTTCTCCAGATGTAAGAACACACTTTTCCACACTAATCACAAATCATATCACAATATCTGTCCAACTAATTGCAGTAATGATTTTTTTTTTTTACCATATTATGCAGCCCTAGTGCTGACTAATACACACTCTACAATACACCACGCATAGATAGGCATAGGCCCATGTCCCACTGTACATTTTTTTATGGGATTTGATAACTGACACAATTTGTAGAACAATATTTAATTGAATCCAATATTATTACACAATATTCACTCATTTAAGGTGTGTTACATCACAGGCAGCCCAGTCTGAAATAATGGAGGTAACTGTGGAAAAAAGAAAACAAAATGATTTAATTTTCACTCAAACACCCCAATTTCCTGTTCCCCTGTCACCCACAGCTCTCTAGTGGTTAAAATATGTGCCAAGTGGACAAACACTACAATAATACATGGAGAACATTTAAATAAGCTACAACCCCTATGTCAAATTCCAATAGATATATATTTCAAAAACATCTGCAATAACAGCAAGGTGGATCACAAATGACATGAGGTTCCTTCGTAGAACACAAAGAGGTTTGAAAATGTCACAGCAGCAGCAATCTGAGGGGTCTGTAAAAAGAATGAAAAGTCAATGAACAGACATGTCACAGAGTAAAATAGAAAATGAACACATAATCCTACCTCATCATTGAATTGGCAGTTTCAGCAGGAGCTCTGTGCTCTCTGCTATGTCACCAATAATCAGCTCACTATGCAGGGCCATTCAAACATCCTGTAGTGGTGAGTAATTTATTGCTGTTGTCAAATTGTTTAGTTATTTGTATTCAATGTGTATGTTTTTTCTTCCAATTCATTTTCAGAATGAACTCAACCATTTCTTATCCCATTCTTCTACCTTCCTGTTGGCCTACAGAATGTGTCTGCTACACCCAGTCATCTTTTTTTAAATGATTTTTGTAGTTTTTATTGCCTTTATTATATAGGAGCAGCTGAAGATAGACAGGAAAATGGGGAGAGAGGGGATCCAGCACGGGTTGGAATCAAACCCAGGCTACTGGTCCATGATGCTGCGGTAAGTACATGGGGAGCACACTCTACCAGGTGAGCTAACACCCACACCCAATAATCTTCTGCCGTTCCTTTGACAACATATGATTAGCAGGCATGGGATCCATTTACTTTCACTTGCCTGAAAATATATTTTTAGGTGACAAATGTACTATGACTAATTTAAATGTAGTGTCTTGCACTGATCTGTTCAAGGTTGTTTTACTACGTACTGTCTTGTACGACTCAAACAGAAATAAATGCATGCAGGTCCTTGATTTCCATCTACGAACATCCTCTTTAAAGCTTTGCGTTTGGCCCAACATGAGTCTCCGTCTCTCCGCTAATAGACAAAGCTGTTGCTGATGAATGAGTGTTCATATTTGCGGGTAAATTCAACTAGTAGATAAGAATTCAGCTAAGAATATAGACCAAAAGTCTAGAAACAGGAGGTAGAAGCTGGAGGTGGTGGGACATTTGCTGTCTATAGTGCCACTGTGTGGTCAAGTTGGCTAAATAATAATAAAAAAATAAAAAATAATGGAGCAGACAGGAAAGCTTAAATTTATATTCTTTACTATAAAATGTAGCTACAACAATTGCTGAATAACGCCAGCTTCGTGAAATCTACAGTTAATAAAACCACAATAAAAAAGCTGAAGTGCTGTCCCCTTTTTAAACCAGTATCTGCTCCACTACTTTCACTTACAGAATATATTTTGCCACACAAAGTTCTCTCTTTGGTCATTAGGTAAAAGATGCAAATATGTTCCTGTCATTACAGTACTTGATACCCATTTGGCTTATATGAACAGTAAACTCAGTTTCATGTTTCAGTTTTTCCAGGAAAACATCAAAATACATCCATCCATCGATCAGCCTCAGGCTAGTGAAACAGAGGCTGGACTTTGGCTCACAAGTCAGTGAGATAAAACAATGCTTTAAATAATTCAACTGTCGTCATAAAAACATGTAGCGTAGATAAAAAAGGAACAAAATACAATTACAGGTCCATATTTGTTCAGACTGTGTACAAAATGTGTACTGGACGGACAAAAACTGTTCCACGATGTTAAAACTGTAGTATCAAGTCCAGCACGTCCTCTGTCCTCATTAATAATGGTCCGTGGTTTGCGTGGCTCAGTTACCAGAAGCATATTTTCATAATAAATAGTTCCTCAGAGCAGCATATCCTCACAAATGGCCATGCAGACATTGGTTTACTGCTAAGTTTCATCTGGAGTCATCACTGAGCTGCCCAGAGGGTCCTGCACTCCAGGAACACCGTCACCGGACTTCACACAGGAGCTCTGAGCCTCTTCAGTGCCAGGTTTCCAGCTTTTGTTGTCGCTCATACACATTTCCCCTTTTTTGCCAGGAAACAACAAGAGATAAATATTATTAAATTGCATGTACTAATATTGTTAATCCATACAAATAAATGCAGCTCACAAAAGTCCCCTAATCTGTAGGTAACAGATTTGTATGCATACTTTTACAGTCCTTATACATTGACCAGACAAACAGACAGTTGATGATTGTTGTGATGCAGTGTGTGAAACCTTCTCCTAGGCTGTAGTTTGTAGTGTGTTATTTGTTTGTATTATACTGTAAAGCATTTCTAATATTTTAACTCTTCCGTCTTTGTAAATGAGCTGGGCATAAAAAAAGTAGTGATAATGATAAGTGAAGTACTTACTTGCTGTCTCTGTGGGGTTTTCTGTGCCATAATGGAAACTATTCTCCTTTTCTGCTGATTTCCTAAAGTTTTCCAACTAGACCAAAACAGCATTTTTAATGTAGTATTACCCATTTGATGTAAATGTAAAATGATTCATAAGGAGATGTAAGTAGACATGCTTACCTCAGTACATATGGACTCAGAAATCCGGCTGCTGATTGGACTTTTATCATCAAATTTGCAGGTACTGCAGGAAAACAAGAGTGGCATTGATTATCCTATCCTACAAAATAAGCTTTAATAGTGTAACAGTAAAAACTGTAAGGAATTAGTTTTACCTTGAACTCTGTGATAATGCTGGTTCACAGTCAATTGAAGTCTCCGGATTCTTTTAAAAAAAAAAAAAAAAAGGGAAAAATGTTTTACACACATGACCGAATGAACAAGTGGCTGACAGTAAGAGAAAAAGGACAGGTCTCACCTGTGGGGCCTTGTTATTGATTGTCGCATCATGTGGATTTCCTGCTTCAATGTCTTGGTTTCTGGCTTGTTTCTGGCGCTGCATCTTTACATAATCATATGTGCTTATTCCTTTATAAACTGTCAAGCCAAGAGGAGAAACACAAGATGGAAATGATCAGGGTTAATGATTGAATGAGGAGAAAATAGCCCTATCCAATATCTACCTTGAAGATTGTGACTCACAGAGATAAAAGTGGAAGCCAAGCAGATGGCCGAGCAGCAGCAGACAGGTGATGCTCAGCATGACTGTTATGAAGGCTAATATAAGAAGTCCAGCTGAACTAGTCTTTATGGGTGCTAAGGGTAAAAACACCAGCCAGGTGTCATTCCCCAGTATACCTACAGAAAGATGGAGCAACACACATACAGTTTTTAATGGTGCAATAAACAAAAATATTATTAAAGTCATTTATATGCTCTCTATTCAATCAGGTAAAGGAAGCTCAGACTTATGGTGACTCACTGTCAAACTGCGGGGCAGTCCGTAAGCTATTTGGATCCAGGTAATGCTGAATAAATATGAACAAGATGACAACAACAAGCAGGGAGACACCTAGTGTAGCAGAGGACAGTGCCACAAAGAAGCACCTGAAGGCAACGCACAAAACCTGATGTTAATTTATAAAGCATTCTACATTTCATTTGAACACCAGGTATGAAGTGAAATACTAGGAAACACACTAGTTCATCCAAAACATTGTCTTACCAGTAGTTTCTGCCACCCACGCAGGTGTTTAGCCATTTGCAGTGGTGATCAAAGTCTTCCACACACTTGTTGCAAACACTGCAGTGTTTTACTTTGGGGCCACTACATGAAGATTAATTATGTTAACATCATTAAACCCATTTCTAATAATTATCAAATGACAGCTCTATTAAAAGCAAAATCACATTAGACACCATTGCTTGGGATACATACACTCTGACATCACATAGGTAACAGCGTAGGTCCTGGATGACATGCGATTGCTTTGTCCGGTCAAAAAGGGGCATTGGACTGGCATAGCTCTGTTTGGCCCTGACACTGGCATCTGCTGGGTCTATAGTCACAGCAACAATATGGGTGAAAAAGTGCACCACAAATGCGATGGCCGTCAGCTGTACACAACAAGAGTCAAGGAAAACAGCAATATTGGAAAAATGCTGTAATGTGTGATTAAATGTGGAGTAAATTGCAGAATAATAAGTGGCACAAGTATACACGGGTGAGAAACTGCAAACTGTTGCACACAAGTGGATCTTTTGTGTGAGAAATAAAGTCAGGTCTGAAGAAATCAACTGTTCTTATGGCTGAGTGAAGCTTCAGTTCAATAAACTAGTGTTGACATCATGCAGCATTCAACATGTGACAAAAACACCACTGATCATGTCTTTTAGGCTTAATAGAGACCACAGAAACAGAGACCGGAGTCACGTCTGCTGTGACTGGGACTCATACAGACAGCCCAAACAACAAAATCCTTGTCTTGCAGCACAAACAAAACCGTAGCAGAGACTAATGCTTGCTCCATATTCAAATGTGAAAGCTTCACACTTAACGCTCAGCTTGCAATGATAGCAAGGCTGCAGCTGCGTGTTAAGGATACGGCATAGGCCACATGGTTCCACGGAGGAGGCAGAAGAGGGATGTAGATGCCGAAGCTGACTATGGCGAGGTAGCTGTACAGCAGCCAGCCAACCACTTGCAAAGCCGGAGGGGGCCACGACCACCCGTTCATCCTGGGAGGCTTGGAGGGGACCAGTTCATTCCTACTGGTGCCGCGCATGGGAGACGTGCGTCTCAGCCTTTTACTGAAGCAGTTCATCTAAAAGAGAACAAGAGGAGGATAGACACAGTCACTCGAGGGAAAGGCTTCCTCCAGGTGTCTTCAAAGCATCCACATTACTCACGCTACAGGCAAGGCTGGCTCCAGCAGAGTGTAGCCGCATTTGCTGGGGAAATGAGTTAGGAAAATGAGTTGATCTTGAGATAGTGACTGATCGCATTAGGGACCTGCACTTTCGTTTTTTTTTAGCTAGGTGTACTTCAAACACTGGCACCTAATACAGCAGCCTTGGGTTAACCTTGTTAGTATGAATGGGGTGGACAAAATATTAGAAACACCTCTCAGAATAACCTTCATGAAGGTGGGATTTATGGCTCAGCTGTTGTATTGAACTGCATTAGTTTTAGTTACTTCATAAACTTGCAGCTGTGTGTGATACAGGCAGTAGACCCCTGCATATTAATAACAAGGAGGATATTGTCACATACCCTATAGAAAACAGCTGATCCAGAGTAAAAGAGCTACTCAAAGTGCAACATCCCTTTCTTTGTAAAAAAAAAAAAGAAAGAAAAAAGGCCTTGTAATCACATGTTTTGCTCTTGGGCCATTCGCCTGACACAACACTTGAACTGTGTTAAAAAGGTACTCCAGATTAGCTTAAAAACCTGGAAACAATCAACAATGTGTGAGTTTCAGAACAAGAAGGCAGTTTAGTAATGCTTTTTGTCCATCGCTGCGTTGGACCCGTGAGACTAATTTAACGAGTTTGTCAAGTAAAGATAATAAACCTCTCTGGCTGTTTATCTTCCCAACAGTTGTTGACATTTATTTGCTTAAAAACTCAGTTGTTTTACATTTTTACGGCTTATAATAAACAATAAAAACATATAGGATGTTAGGTCTGTAAAAAAAATAAAAGTCCATGAAGAATGACTTACTTTTTCCGGTGGAAGAAGACGACCCTAGAATTTAAACAATAACAGCTCCTGTTCGTATACAGACGGAGATTTCCACCGCTTGATATCCCATTATTAGTTAGACAGCCGGGCAGGTGCTTCAGTAAAGTCAAATTTACATGATGGCCAAAAACACAGCACCAGGAAAACGCAAGACAATTTAAAAGAGGTAACCCGTAAATGTGGATATAAAACGCTCCCGGTGTCCTCGGAATTGTCACCGAAGGACGTGAGTCAGAAGTTGAAGAATCAACTCACTCAGCAGGTCGTCGCAGCGCTATGGAAACTGTCCTACTGCGCATGTGCACTACAGCCCTCTTCAAGATACCCAGCTTTTTTTGTTTGTTTTTTATTGTGGCCCTTCACTGGCTGAATAAACACGCATGTAGCTCGGTTATCGAGCTCAGTCTTTCTGATTCTTTATCATACTTTTAGGCCCAGGAAAATATATGCTTCTTAATCCAGCCAATGCTTTGTTCCCATGAGAGCAAGAAGGAACTGCTAACAAGAGATATGCACGTTACACTTCTGCTTTCAAAAATGAAATTAAATTTTCTTTATATTGAATGTTAATGTATACTGCATAAATACTGCCTTTTCACTTCCCTATTGTGTCTAACCCATACCGAGACATCCCTTAAAAGCAGATGTTGCTCAATTGAAGCCTGAGTGGAAGTTTACTGCTGCAGAGATCAGAGGACTCTTCACAGCTGCCAGATTATCTTACATCCTTTTACTGTAAATGTGCTAAATTTGGATGAGCAATACTTGTATACAGTTCGTACGTTTACAGCTGTTCCCACAGTAAAATGTAGGTGATAGGTGAACAGTTTTTGTTTCATTTACTTATTGAACCACACACATTTATAAATACAGGTGCAAACATTTATTTTTCAAGTGTTGCACTCATACAAAACCATACGATTACGCTACAAACATTCTGTACAATCATATTCAGTATTTAAAACAGTTTGGAGGCTCTTGCTGTCTCCAACAGTCCAAGGCCGACAATCCAGCGCTGGTAACACCGGTATAACAAAATGGCAGTGTGTGTGGTCAGCTGTTGCCCGTGTTCTCCGGCTCCGGAGACTGCAGGAACTCGTAGGGATCATGAACCATTTCAGACTGGTCGCCAACACCCAGGTGTGATGGGCTTCCTGTGGATAAAAAAAAAGTGGTTTTTATGTAGTTTCACTGTTATTACTATTCCATGGAAAGCAATGAAAATTCTGCAGCAAAATGGAGCTGTAACATTTAGTTGATGTTTACTCATGACAATAATTTGATGTTTAATCAAATTAAAACTGAACTAACTAAAAAGAATTAGCAGTGCTCCTTTCTGAGCATTTAATCTTTTAGTCTTACTCCTACTGCCGATACCTAAGTGGTGCTGGTCCCTCTCTGAGGCATTAGAGAGTGAGGACAGGTTGGATGAGGGTCTGGAGCCGACTCTGTCGACCTGAGCCTCCTGGAACTCCTGCAGGAGCTTGTCTGCATCATCAAAGTGCTGCTGGCCCTCGTCATTCCCCGGCTCTTTTTTCACTGTTTTACCTGGTGAGGAAAGAGGAAAGGTAAGATCATCATTAGAAATGAATTGAACACCATATTTTAAAGAGGTCCTGCAAGTACACATCAAAGGGAGGAGGGAAAATATGCACACTAATAAACCAGCTTAGGATAGCAGAGCTTTTTTTGAATCCTTTGTGTTTTAAAATGTAGATAACTCTGCCTTTCCATGTATTTTTTGGGGCTTTTTATGCCTTTACTTGATAGGACAGCTGAAGATAGACATGAAAAGGGGGTAGAAAGAGGGGGGGATGACACACAGCAAAAGGCCTGGGCTGAACTCAACCCCAGGCCGCTGTGATAAGGACTATGGCTTAAGTGGCCATAATACCCTTCAATATTGCAACCCACAGCTTACTCTTGTTACGCTTACTGCAACTGCGAGCCTTATTACATTAACATAATGCAGGCTTAGCGTTTACATGGACATCTTCCACGTCTTAATACCTTAATTAGGTTATGGCTGGATTACTGGTGTACATATAAATGAGTGTTGATGGGGATAATCACCTAATGAGTTCAGCATGGATATATCCAGAGACATATCAGGATAGTTCTTCATTGACATAAAGTCCAGGACTGAGCCACTCTCTCCCAGGCCGGTGGCATCTGACATCTGAACAAAGAACAAAAAAACAAAAACGCAGCTTCAATCAGACAGTCGAGTCACTATTTTAATGTACCGCCACTTTTAACACCAACTACAGCGTACCTGCATGTCACAGATGCTGGATTTAGTTTCATCAGGTTTCAGCATCATGTTTCTTTTCTGAAATGTAAAATAAGCATCATACACAACAGGCCTACACTGCAGAAACTGTGGTAAAAATTGGTCTACAGACATAGAGGATGGTGGAAATAATGTGTTTAATACTGTACATGGCTGTATATTAAATACAAGTCAAGATACCTGTCGGATTTGACCAACAGCTTTAGTGTGATCGCCTGCGGTCATCTTGTCCAGAAGCCCGTCAACCCAGTGCTTTGTGACGCTTCCACAGCCCTTGACAAACTCCTGTATGCTTTGGGGTGAAAGTAATCACAATTACAACCTGAAACGGATACATTTCTTCTACGAGATCATTTTAAATTTAACCTATGGCAGAAAAGTCCCCCTACCTGAGAGCACATTGTACCCCTGTGTCATCTCCATACGCTGAATAGAGCATGTCTACCTCATCAGACAGCAGGTCTGGAAAGATGGAGTTCTTCTGAAGGGTCTGAATGTTGTAGGCACTGCTGAGAAATGTTACTAGACAGAGGAAGAAAAAAAAACAATGTATTATAAGTGTGGTCATTTTTAGTGATTGTTATTAGTTGTATCGGACAATCAAAATAACTAATATGAATTAAATCAACAAAAGTGCACTTAATGACATACCTTTGTGTCTCCTGTCATCTTTGAAACCCAAGGTTGTTAATCCAGGCAGAAGCTTATTTGACAGAGAACTTAGGTCCACTTTATGAGTCTCCTCTTCTGCATGAAATAAGAACAAATGCGTCTATCACATATTATACTCATGTAATGCAGATGTTTTGTGAACATGGGATTCTAAAAGATGCTTAAGATACTATACAATGATCACAAACCTTCTGCATCAGGATCAAGCTGATTTACAACTGTATATAGAAGGGAACTGTCTGGCTCTTTACGCAAGTAGCCCATCTGGAAATACAGAACAGAGAGAATATATTGTCAACACAAACTACACTGACAAGAAGTGACGCCCACATACTGACAATAACAACATACCTCGGTCAAGTCAAGACTGACCTCCTCAAAGCATGGAAGCCTTACTACCTCTTTTTATATAGCTATAGGTGGTAGACACATTTCTGAGTGGGGATTTATAATTTTATTTGTAAGTAGGAAACCTTGGAGTTGGGCATGTATCTGTTGATCCGATCCCGAGCTTCATCTGCCGAGTGCTCGACGAGTGCCAGAACATGCTCCTCTGCTGTACTGTCAGTCAAGCTGCAAGCGTTTCCCTCTGGTTCATACAGGTAACTGGAATAACATAAGTGACAGTGTTATCGGTTCATTATACTGACAGGGTCCTGAATCACACAACATCAAACACTTGGGACTTCCCCACTGGCCCTTTTGATTACATTTCTTTACATACATGTACACAAAAAGTCACATTTAATGTAGATATTAGAAACACGGAATACCTGATGACCTCCTTCATGTCTTTGACTGGTTGTTTCTTGGACTTCTTGGCTGATTCCACTGGGATGGGGATTATCTCTGGAGGAGGTATATCAGCTGCAAGGTCTTCATCTCCCAAAATGGCTGCTTGCTGGGTGTAGTCCATGTCCTGCATGAAAGACATGCTGCGCTTCAGAGCCAACAGACGTTCCTGTACACAGGGCAGAGGAAAAGGTGACAACACTTAACTTTGTTTGCTTAGCTAGTAATGTATGGATAAGAGAGGAAACCGAAGAGAAAGGGACAGTAGAAAGGTGTTGATGACGACAGTGGTGTTTTAAATTCACCCTTGGTCAGTTGACATTGACATCAGCTTAATACATCCAAATGAGTTGTAATTTGTTAGGAGGACTCATACTGCTCAGCTGCTAGGAATCTGAAAATGTCATAGTGCTTTGAATATATTCCATTACTCACTGTACCATGATTTGACTCTAGGTGACATCATTTCTGCAGCCTGCTTGTCTATCCATCTCAAATTCATTACGAATTCATATGTACAATTAATGGAAATATATTTTAGTGCAGATATTTTTTGATAGCGATCAACAAAGAAAATCACTTAAGTCCAGAAATATTCAACTGACAATTTGATCTCCTCCATTTAAGCATTTAAGTTGAAGTCAGAATACCTATCTGTAGTGAAATGCTACCTACAGCATGATAAAAAGCAAAAACAATTGGATAAGATGGATGGGTTACCAAAAAAAAATCCTAGTATGAGAAATTAGTTTTCTTTTATAGAATTTGACATCATTACCTTGCTCATCATCTTGAATCCTGTATGGAGCAGTTTTTTGGCAGCCTTGTAATAGACAGTCTCTGGTCTGTTGTAGACCATGGCATTGTCACACATCAGTTTAAAGTCTGCCTGAAAGCCAAAAAGTGTTCAAACAGGTATGAGGGTAAACTTATCTCATACGGACAAAATAAATAAATATTCTAAGTATTCCTTTGTGTTGAAAAGTACCCCTACCTTGAATTCTGTAACTGTGTTGTAATCATTGTTTCTAATTTTGTCTTTCATGGTGCTGAAGTCCATAGGATGTTTGATGATCATTGAGTAACCAGGAGCAATCGCGTCTGTTACTGGAAATGAGAAGAATCCATGGGGATCTTTCCTGGAAAGACAAGTGATGCACCGTTAATGTTATTCAGTGTATCAACCTTTATATGTTGCTAAGACTTGCCGAGAGCAACTGTACTTGTCTGATCATGCCAGGGCACATTATCTGTCAGGTCAATATAATCAATATGAATGAATCTTGCTTGTGAACTTTTCAAAAGAGCGGCGTATAGTAAAAGTTCATGCCTGTGCTCCACTCGATATAATAAATACTCAAATAGACTAAAGAATAAAAGCCCACAGCCTGTAGAAGAAGAAATGTTTTGTTGCACCTGACAATATTTAGCATGTAGGTGAACAAACATCAAATGCAAATGCTTCTATTTTTAGAGAGTTACTGGGAGCAGAGGAAAGTCATGGAAATCAAAAGGGCTTTGTTCCCTTAGGACAATGTATGCGCTCAGCTAGTTTTATGTTGTTGACTGTTAATTGGCTCATGCAACAAGTTTTATGCAAAGTTCTCATTTCGACGTGACGTGTACATGAGCTAAATGGTGTTTGTGTTCAAGCAAAAGGGTTCCCCCCAAAAATTAGGATTCATCTGAAAGGACAAATATCTGCCTTAACCTTAACTCTTAGTCTTTATGCTTCTGGATCTGTGGCATTAAAAGTGCAGGAGGCCGATATCACAGGTGGATGCAGCCATTAGACTAAATCCGTGTTCCTCACCTCTGCAACTGCCTCAAAAAGTGTTCCAAGAGTTGCTGACGAGGAGTGCACTCGTTCTCTACATTGGACAAACATAAAAATGTATTAACACGTTTACAAGTGTATAATTGTTCACGTACAATGTAATGTGCTACTACGTTGTCCTCATAGACAGGCATTCTTACCTTGTTGTGTCCTGCATGCTCGGACCGGTCTGTCTCCTTGTGGATCCATTTCCAGCTTCACATCGGGGTGAAACTCCTCCACTTCAGGCTCTAGCTCAAACTCTCGCTCTCGCTCTTTCTTCTTTTTCTTCTCTTCCGGCTGATAATGTGACAATGTGAAAGGTTCAACAGGTACACCGGCACTAGTGGCAGCTGTAGCAGCTGCTGCCGCAGCATCGGATTCATTCTGCTCTCGCTCTCTTTTCTTCCTCTTTTCCTCCTGTAGGATGAGATGAACGCCAATTTTTAACTTCTAGTGGCAAAAAAAACACTGGCACCATAAGGTAGAATATTATTTTGTGAACTAACCTTCCGCCGCCTCCTGTCCTCATCATCCACATATTTGTCTTTATCCTTTTCAGACTTCTTCTTCTTCTTCTTCTTTTTCTCTTTGTGGCGTTCTCGCTCATGGTCCGATCTGTCATCGTAGTAGCTGGAGTCATGGCCCGAACCTGAGAGCTCCGTCACCTCACTTCCTCCAACTTTGAGCACAAGCTTCAGGGGCTTCTCAAGAGCCTTGTCCTCATAGTCTACAAGCAAAACAAACGAGATGAAGGCGATGCTTCAGATAGGAATCATGGCACAAAGTAAAAAGTTGTGGGAGTAGGTGAGGATGTGGAATGATGTTGGGATTAATATGGTAGGAATGCTCTACATTTGGACACCAAATAGGTCTTTGCAAACAGAGTATATGTAATACACTGTAGCGTCTCTGTCTGTGGAAAATCTGTGATTGGGTTGTATTGTAGTCCACTGTTGATTTAATGAAGGTAATTCCATACCTGGTGATTTAGCTTATCTATGTAGTTACTTACAATACAAATTAAATGATAAAAAAAACTCTAAATGACACACAAAAACATACAAATCAGATACAAATCAACGTTAACTTGCTTGCTAACTTAACTATAACTTCAGCTCTCAGTCAAACAAATAAAACCTATTTAACGTATTACATCATAACACACTCATGAACGTTTAGCAAGGCATTACACGAACAGCAGCTGAGAAGTAGAGCCGAGGCGTGTGCACCGTTCTGCAGAATATTTACAAAAACAAAACAAAACAACGATGCAAATCTGCTGCTTTTACCAGCTAAGCTAAGCTAACTAGCTGGAACAAAAGCGGTGCGGTAAATAATATTAATAATAAAATTAAAACATGCGCTCAGGTACCATCGACTGTTCTCCACTCCGGTTTGTGTTTCTTGTGTTTTTTCCCCATATCTCCGTATTTATATCCGAGGTGGTGTGTTTAATCGCAGGTATAGTCTCTAACGTTACTCTGGTTGGAACAGATATTTGCAATAAGAAAAGCGAGCAGCATCCGGAAGTGAAAAACAAAACAAACGATGTGTTTCCGGTTTAACAAAGCAGCGCGCTGAATTCGACCAACTTTCGTCTTTGTGACAGCACAGCGGACCGTCGCGGGTACCGGGACTGTGGTGGATGCAAGTACTTAGATCGATAACACAAATGGTGTAAGGTATGGTTTCAGTTTTGTCGGTGTAACTTAGTAAACAGTTTTGCTCCTTTAGAGATGTTGACGTTAGCCGGCTACGTTAGCTAGCCGCAAGATACCTGGGCTAGCTAGCGAAATGGAAAAGTGTCTTTTTGGTGAACACAAGAGTGAACACTTAACTAAGTTAGATAGGTTAACTGCTCTATGTTGTTCTGATGTCCACAGCTGTCCGGGAATGGAAGATGACACAATGGAGGTGGGAAACCAGAAATCAAACATCCATGTGGAGGTCCATGTTAAATCTCACAGGTGGGTTTGCTGAGGAATCGGGGGGGGGGGGGNNGGGGGGGGGGGGGGGGGGTGAATTATGTATTTGTATCCGGTGTCTTCACGTTATGTGCCATTCATTACTTTGCTATTTAGTGTGACATTTTCCCTCAATACGTCAAATACCTTGATTAATCGAACAGGAGTCGATCCAAGTACTCCAGAGTAGCAGCGGCGGATCTACAGAAATATTCATGGGGTGGCTGAAGACTTAATAATAACTTAAAAATAATAATGAAAAAAATGTGTGTGTGTGTGTATATATCACATACTTGGAAAAGCCCCAAATTAAGATATTTTAACTAAAGAAACATGGCTATATTGTTTTTTATTATTATTATTATTATTATTATTATTATTATTAAAGCATCGAATATAAACTTTAAAGGTGATATAAGAAATCAACACATTTTCAGACAGTGGCAGACAAACAGCGCATGTGAGCGTATCCCCCTGTTTTTTAGGTTTATGATCTAAGTCACCTGGCCTTATGGTGGCTCAAGACAGTTTAGTGAAGGTGTGTTTGCTTTCACTGGGTTAAAGTGTACGTGTGTGTGGGTCACCTACTAAACCCTCTGGTTTACTAACAAAGTCAGTAATTGTAGCTTACTGGTAGGAACGCTAGTCCTTGCTGCCCTCTGGTGGTTGTGGCTATTAATAACTAGTTACATTTCGTCCCACAGCAACACTACAATAATATATAGCTGACAGCTGTGTGCATTAATTAGATAATTAAAGTGGCCTTTAATTACTGTTATATAAAGTAATTAATTGCTTTTGAGAGAAGTAACTGTAACTAATGACTTATAATTTTCAGTAACTTACACTGGTTGACATTGTTTGGATGCTTTCAACTCTCGAGAGTCTAGTAAGACTCTTACAAAAACAGAAACCCATATTGGTATTATTATTGTATCAGCCATCCCAGGAGAGAAAATAATCATTTTTTATCCTATTGATAATGTTATTATGTAATTACAGCTACACTTTCCTGTGCGCTTTGTCAATTTTTCCCGTTTTTGTTCATGTTTCAGCACGGCTAAAGTGTCTGACGTGAGGATGCATGTTCTGGCTCTACTGAATCGCCACAGCATGGTCTTTGGAAACTACAGATGGACAGAGTTTGATGAAGAGTTCTTGCAGAAACACGTGGAATCTGTGGTTCTAGTTGACCTCGACAATATGGTAACACGTTGTTTTGTTTTTAATTCAGTGAAGTAGAAATGATTTGCAGTTGTTCATTTGTTATGAACTTTTTCCTCCCCTCTCAGCCTGTTGATTTGAAGAGCTGCTCTGTTTCCGTTCACATCTTCACTCTGAATGAGGATGGACCCAGCACGCTCAGTTTGGAAGAGGATGAGGAGCTTTCAGCAGCCAATCACTGGTTGCTGCCAGCAGGTGACGCTGGACCTAGTGAAGGAGAGCGCATTGAATAAAACATCATGTTGAGAAAATCTGGCTTTTTTTAGTTTGATTTATTTCCAGTTGACATTGTACAGGCAGGCAAGACTTAATACAGGAAGCAATAATTCTTTTAAGGTGTACAGTATGACTCGATCCTGTCTCAGTCCTCGTGCATGAACTTGTCGAGGAAACAAGGGGGCTGACTGTGGTAAAATATGAGTTTGGAACGCATTAAGAGTATGAATTAAAGCCTGGCTGATATTGATATTAAATAAGTTAAAAAGTCTGATTATGATTTGTTGGCCAGTGGTAATTTTTTAAGCAAACTTGATTTCTGTACAGCATTTTTTTTTAACTTATTGACCAAAATATATACAGATTCTGCTATAACTGGAATAAGCTAATATCAGCTCTAATATGATTGGGCACTAGTACAAGTGGGCTACGCTGTAGTGGTTTGAGTGATCTGCTGTAAAAACCTGGAATTCATTGGAATCTCTTCTAGCAGCTGTAATCAAACCTGACCAAAGTCTCCTTTTTTCTGTTATGCGAAAAACACCACTTGTTTTTACAACCACCTTTTAAGCTTCCAAGGGTCATTTAATGTTTCTTATTTTAGCTTAATATTCCCCTAGAATGACTGCGTCTCCTTTGTTTTTAACAGCTGAATTCCATGGGATTTGGGAGAGTCTGGTATATGAGAGAGGAGTCAAATCACAGGTATAAAAAATATGCAATGAGAAGAAATGATAACGTTTTCATACTGTAAACTTCACATTTTTAAAAATTTCCTCCAGCTCCTGGATTATGTCACAACAACAATTCACTTCTCCGAAAAAAATGTCGACAGCAACCTGATTTCATGGAACCGCGTTGTGCTGCTTCATGGTAAATAACTAATGATTAATGACAGTGATGTTTATTGGCTGAGATTGTGTTAGAGGTGATGTGCGTAAAATAACTGATTTATTGCCTTGTGTATGCCCACATTCAGGACCCCCAGGCACAGGGAAAACATCACTGTGCAAAGCTCTTGCCCAGAAGCTTTCAATCAGACTGTCAAGTCGGTAAGACAATCCTCATTATAGTGAAACCGCTTCAGCCATAACTGCACCTGCTCTATTATTTCAAAATGCACTCCTCTGCCTGCAGGTATTCTTATGGGCAATTTGTTGAGATAAACAGCCACAGCTTGTTCTCAAAGTGGTTCTCAGAGGTACAGCTGGCACATTTATGTTAAATTGTTCAGTTGGAAGATGTTCTAGATCGAACTGATATCATTTTGTTAGATAATAACTCCTGTTTGTCACAGAGCGGTAAGCTGGTCACGAAGATGTTTCAAAAGATTCAACAACTGATTGATGACAAAGACGCTCTTGTGTTTGTTCTGATTGATGAGGTAAACACCTTGGAAATGAACTCTTAATTATAACTTTTGAGTACGTTCCTTCATTGAATTGCTTCCAGATTTACTGCAAACAGAAGACTTAATTGTGCACTTGTTGTAACCCATGTTCAGGAGAGTCTCTGCTGTGACTAAAGCTGTTCCTTTTGTGAACCTGTTTGATGGCGGGTAGGTGGAGAGTCTGACAGCAGCTAGGAATGCCTGCCAGGCGGGAACGGAGCCCTCTGACGCCATCCGAGTGGTCAACTCTGTCCTCACTCAACTGGACCAGATCAAACGGTCAGAAAGCATCTATGTACTGTGTTAAAACCTACCTCTGTCTTATAGCATATGATGAGTGTCCACTCTTAATTAGTGTTTTCACTAGAAAATCCATCCATCAAACTTTTGTTTTGTGTTGACTTTTGGGTTCATGTTTCAGACATTCCAACGTTGTGATCCTGACAACATCCAACATGACAGAAAAGATAGACTTGGCGTTTGTGGACAGAGCTGACATCAAGCAGTACATCGGACCTCCGTCTGAGGAGGGCATCTACAACATCTACCTCTCCTGCCTGGAGGAGCTGATGAGGGTGACCAAACAATCTAGCAACTTTTATCATTATTTACAATATTTGCAAGTATTCATCATTTAATGAAGTTTAAATTAAGAAGTCTTTCACTTCCATGTTCAAACCTCTGGGCTTATTTTGTGTGTGTGATGATTGTACTAGTTTATGGGGGATTGTCTTAGTTTTGGGAATTTTGTAGAAATGTCTAGTGCAAGGCTCAACAGGAAGAGCTGGTTGTTCACTAATCAAAGGGTTGGCAGTTGGATTCCTGGCTCCACCAGTCCACATGTCAAAGTGCCTTTGAGTAAGACACTCAACTCCAGTTCCTCCCGATGGTTAGACCACTACCTTGCGTGTTTTGAATGGATAAATGAAAGGCAAACTGTAAAGCATCGCGGATCAAAGGGGCACATAAATGCAATCCATTCACCAATATGTTCCACTTGGCAAAATAGAAAAGACAACAAAATGGAAATCACAGCAACAATTCAAAAACCAATTCAGGGAACATTTAAATGTACAGCGTGTAAGCAGGCCCTATTGGCAGAAATGGAATATAATATTTGAATGTTATCTTATATAATCACCTGGGATAATTTACTCCAACGTTTGTTGTGTGGCTTAGTTAATTCTACATTAGTGCCAAAAGTGCTATTTTGCATTAGGGCTTGCTTTGTTTGGACACACCCTGAACATTTCCAGTAGCTAGTCAAACAGGCTGTGCACCCAGGTTATGATCCGATATCATTTCTGGATCACAACCTTGTATAACATTCCATGTCTGTAAAACCCCCTTTGCCCCCTGGGTGTAGACGTTTACCTGTGGTGAAATGGCAGCGCAAGAATAATATTGAGTAAAGTGCTAATATCAAAAAGAAGAAATTCTTGAAACCAACTGATCTTACTACCTTTGCAGATTTGTTTCTTTGTTTACCAAAAATTACCACTGTTGGAGCATCAATAATGATTTTAAGATTATATAACATTAGATATTTTGATATGTATTTAGCATGTGTGATATTACAGTGGGAAATATAAATTACATGTATTGCAACAAGATAGTGATGTTTAACTTTCAGTCAACAAAAAAAAACTACTTTACAAAAAACATCAGAAGCAGCAACTCTTTACATTTAATTGTGTGAGTCGATAAATTACAATTTCCCATATGTCTATGTCATATGTGTGATGTGCAGTGCCAGATAATCTACCCCCGGCAGCAGCTGTTTACCATATTTGAGCTCGAGACGATGGGCTTTGCAGAGAGTGAGGTGTCGGAACACAGTCTGAACCTGAGGGACATTGCTCTGTGAGTACAGCCCCCCATAATGCAATAGCACCCAAATCACACTGTCTCTGTGCTCTAATCATAATATTGAGTGCCCATGAGAACTGAAACAGCCAGCGGCTAATGTTTTGTTTTTCTTTTAATTTCCAGAAAAAGCAAAGGTTTGAGTGGAAGAGCACTCAGGAAGTTACCATTTCTAGCCCATGCACTGTTTGTAAAGGTAAGTAATTGATTTTCTTCTACGGAGAATGTAGGGGGAAAAAGTAATATGTTTTTTTAATGTAGTTTGTCTGCCTGTAGACGCCGGCGGTGACTATTGCGAGGTTTCTGGAGGCTTTGGACCAAGCTGTGGATAAACAGAAAGAGGAAAAAGCTAATCTGGTCAACAGTGTCTGAACTTACTACAATGCCCAAAGGCTGACACATGATTGTTATGAGCTCTCAGTCCTGTGCCTTGTTTGTGTGTTTGTTTCTTGGAAAATTACAATTAAATTTTTTTTAAAAGCCCAATTAAATTCATTTGGCAGCACTATGTTCAATATAATAGCCAGTATAGGAAGTTTGGTTGAAGATCAAGTACCAAATGCTTTCATTTTTTTTGTGCTATTAACCCAAATGTTTACTCTGTTCCTAGTTATTTGATATTTTATGTAACATGAAGCTTTAACCTTAACACTGCCAGCTTTTTTTTTGTTGTTCTCATGTTATAGGGATATTCCGATCTGTGGTGGCATAAATTATTAGCAATATATTCAGTGTCTTGTATTGATACCGCTGCATACACATTAGCTCAGTCTGTCAGTTTGTTGGAGATTTCCCACTGAAATGGCAGCTTGTCGGACAGAAATGAAAAGCAGTCCCACAATAGGCTGTAGGCCTCAGTGGACAGTGAAGCATCAGAAATACAGTATAGATGATGCAATTTGTTGTGGAATGTTAACATTTTCTGACTGCTGTGTTGTGGTTTTAAGTGTTTTTGTTAACTGGTTCCATTGTCTGCTGTTAAATTCTATAATACAAGTTGCCAGAAAGATACCTCCATCTACAGGATCTGTTCATATACGAAACCAACTTACGTTGAAAAATGTTGTCCTTTAACTTTAATAACAAATCTTCTTTATACTCTGTATTCATTTTTCATTACAACCTTATTTTGTATTTAGCATTGTAATAAAAAACATTGTTTAACCGTGTGTTGTTGAGCAGTTTAAATAGAGTCATTTTGGAGATTTTAACAGAGACTCTGGGCCACCACTTGGTGGTGTACAGATGCTGTCACACAGTTTTACACATGGAAAGACTGATTTTTATATAGTGTATTTTATGAGATACATGATGATCACAGTAAGGGCTGTAAGTATAAATGCCCACAGCAATAAAACCAGATTGCAGCTGACCTTGAGCTCATGTCATGTAAGTTATCTAAATAAGTTTGCTGAATAAAACCAGAAACCCCAACGAACATTAAATGTACATTCACAAATCTGAAAGTTAAAAAGTTGTTCCAGGTTTTTCTTAAGTCCAATTACGTAGCTTACACAGTAGTCCTTTATGAGACAGGCTCCTGAATGGGCACAAAGTGATACATGGTTATAGTGTTTGACAGTGTGTGTTTGCGTGTGGTTGCCACCAAATTTGACATAAAAACAAAACTGTTGAAAGATGATTCACTTTTGAAATGTATCAGTCGTACGCACAGTTTACATGAACAGATCAGTGGCTCCATTGTTCGTATGAACATGTTTTGCATTCTGTGAATGCTCTGCTGCTTTGCATGTCAGCTGCCGGGTTCAGACAATGTGCCCTTTGTTTGTTGTTGGGCAACAGCTTTTTCACTCCACTTCAAAGGTGGATTGTGTAGGCTGTTCCTGAATGTAAAAGGAAAGCAAACATTGATTTCATCTTTATTCACACGCTTCATTCCTGCTCTACTCTATCACTGTCACCCTTAAACTGAACTTTTGTGGGTGTTTTATTGAGCTCTTTTCACTTGACATTTTGCTGGATTTGATTGTACGGTCTAAAGTCTGTCGTTAAGATCAAGCAAAACGTTTATACTCTAATCAAGACCTTCAAGGACAGATTTTTCTTAAGTATTGGGTTTTACAAGAAACCCAGAATGGATTTCCCCTTGCCCATAAAGCCCTCATTTCATTAAGGAAACATAACTGTTGTTTGTGTGAATACTCCCTTTAATGCAACAGTATCTTTTTACATCTAATTGTTTGGCGCCCACTATTTTCCTATGCCAGTGACTTTTTTTTTAATGTGAAATGAATCGCATGAGGAAGCTGTACTTTTCTCTAATCTGATCAATGATCACAAAGTGGAGAGAAAAAAGAAAGATAGAGAAAGGGAGAGCTGTAAGAACGGGCATGGTAAATAAAACCATAATTGCTCTGTCTGGAGGCCCTTTTCTTTTGACTGTAGTTGGTCCAAAAGCAGGCAGCTGTTAAAAGGCAATCAAGACGGAGAAGGAAGAAAAGTCAAAAGCCTTATTGTTACAGGGTTTTATCACAGTTTCAAGCAGTTTGAAAATGTCAGAAAACTCCAAACAAAACAAACAGTCTGATGTTTATCCTCTCAACCGTTGTTCAGGTACATGGCTGACAGCAATGGAATATCAGTGCGTGTGCCAATGGTGATTCACATAGGAAGGTGATTAACTTACACACATTAACTTATAGGCATGTTAAGAAGAAACTGAACAGAGCTGCGCACAAAACCATGGAAACTATCGCTCATTTCTCTGAGGGTAAAATCACAGATTCAGCTTTCAAAGAAGTTATGATTTATGATCTTTAAGATGATTTTAAAGTGATTCTGCGTTGATTGACACAGATTTAGAAAAACAATGCTCTTTTGTCAGTATGATAATTCACATCCTCTGTACAACTACACAATGAGAACCCATAAAACTTCTGCTGTGTCAGGGCTTCTCAATTCTTCATATACATGACAGCCTTTGATGATAAACCAGGACTTTTATCCAAGAGAACATTGCCCTTAAAAGACAACTTCAGCTCCCCATCTGTGTTCCCAGTCTAAACTAGCCTGTCAGAAACGGTATCAGTTGTTGTTTCTGCTTGAGTCCTGAGATTTTTCTGCATCCCATATGCATGTCATCCATTTAAGTGGGATGTTAGAGAGAGTTGGAGAAAGACGATGAGGGAGAGATACCTTGTAAAGAGGCAGAATCCTGGGAGCCAGGCTGCATAAAGAAATGGTGATAATTAGGCACGGCAAGTAGGATCAAAGAAAGCTGCCATCAATGAGCTATGCAAATGCCGGCTCATCTTGTCAACTGCAGACAGTGATTTGAGTATCCTGTGTCTATGAGAAGTCAAATGGCAGACAAATTGACAGGAAGAATATAATAGCTGCACTTCACATTCGTCATGGTGTGTTAGTGAAACTGGGACACTAAGTACTGACAGAAAAGAAGATGTTCTTCCAGTGGCACAGAGAATGCATGTCTCTTATGTTCCTCCAGGCAGTCCCCTGTTTCGGTAACAAAGATAAAGATAACAAGGTTTACTGCACAGACTGTAATTTCTTATATGACTGCTTTGGAGCAGTGAGTGTGTGAGTGATTGACACCAACTGTATAATAACAGTTTATGTCTAGATAACACTCAGAGATCCAAGTCACGTATCTCCTCATTTTAAAGATGATCTGCACAGGAGTTGCATATTTCCCAAACATTAACATCACATTCATGTTTTCATAAGGTTGCCTAAGTAAATGAATATTCATAACACTTGGCATGTGTCCTGCGGCCGAGCCCTGGTTTAACATCCTGCCAAAGGAAACAAACTATAAAAACTGCGAAAAAGAGCTTTTGATGTCTGGTGAGTTGAAGTAAAACATGTTCTTTTATAAACAAAAGTTTATCTTTAGCATCTGTTGTGCTCATACTTAAAACCAATAATGGAAATTTTAAAGGGCAGCCAATCAGTTTGTGGATAGCACACAAACTAGTAACAGTAGTAGTAACAGTATTTAATAATAATGTTATTAATTACACCTACACATCAGGAAATTTGGGAAGCCTGAAGCAGTCCTTCATAAATTATGTTATTTTATTTCTGGTTTAGAAGCATATGTCTATGTGCAGACATTTAATTAACTGTTTTATGATCTGATATCTTTAGACCTTCACCCTTTGATGCCTGATACAAATACGACTGCAAACTATTGGGACAAATAAAATAATGAGCATAAACATATTTAAAATGTCCTCGTCATAAATATAAAGTCTGCTTTGAAAACCATGAATGGAGCTGTACGGAAAATTACACCAACAGAGGACGCGGTTTTACGTTCAACGACACATGAGCTGCCAAACCAGTGTTTAGTGCGTCAAGTTAAATAAAACCTACAACCGGAAAACAAATGAATGGACTTTTCAAAATAGTAGTATAATTGGTAAAAATAGAAAGGGAAAACATCAGGTGCATGGGAACAAATACTTTTTAAAATAGTTTACTCAGATGTCCCATTACATGTGGTTGAAACAAAATACGTTGTCTAAAGGATATAAACAACAATAAGCAACACAAAATGCAAACCAAATCAAATATTTAGCCTACAGCTTATCAAATCTGTAGCTTTGCTCGGTTTTGGTGTGAAGACTTTTTACTTCTTTGACTGTTTTCCACACATTATTCAGTAATGCAGCTGAAGTCTGTACATTTCAGATCGATGATGACAAACTTTAGATGACAAAAAAGTTAGGAGCGCACTCATTGATTTGCTATCTTTAATTAAAATACTATAATGTTTGCACTATATTTCAAAATAGCAAACTGTAGCACTATTAAAGGATCAGTCGGTGTAGGCCTAAAGGTTTAACTTTTTGTTAAGTATTTGTTGTAATTTCAGACACATTTTAAAGTACAACTAAATAGTTAATAAAAACAATCAATTATCCCTAAATAATCTACATCAAATGATTTCTGCAACCCTCATGAAATTTAGAAAATAATGTAGGCTATAAATTCTTCATTATGGTAAAACAGACTTGTGATTAAATGGATGCTGGTCTAACTAACCAACATAGCTCCATAACCTTCAGAAAACCTCAACCTGTGGCAAGGGGAAGACAATTTTTCCATTTTAAAAATTGTATTTTTCTGCTTGTGTTAAAGTATTTCATTTGAGACAGATTTGTTTTGTTGTTGTTGTTGTTTTTGTTATTCCATACAGATTTTACACAGTTCTCCCCACATGTCCCTGCTGTTTCTTCACTTGACTGCTCCCAACACTTCCATCAACAATGGTATTTTATTTTGTAAAACCACCCGGAAGTACCGTACACGTTCATCCTGACACTGACACTGAGTCCGAGCTCTCTGCAGCGTTGAACGCGCTCCCACATTCAGTTGGACTGAGGGGAAGTCTGGAGACAGACAGCGAGTGTCTCCCTCATACATCACCCTCACAGATTCCCCCTGTCTCCTGCTCAGACACAGCTGATGCTTCAATGAACACGAGATCTAACTACCTGCTGCTGGATGAAGTTGGAGTTTTCTTCTTGCAAACCAAACACAATGTGACCATGTTGGGTCAGTGACTGTAACGTTATCCTTGTCCGATTTCGGAGTACCTTTATTGATCCAGGGAAGATCGGGACTTAAAAGAATGGGGAAACTTCAGTCAAAACATGGTAAGAAAAGTTGTAGTTGAAAGCAATGAATGGCAGTTTTTTTTTAAAAGTATTTCGATTGTTGTAGTATTGATATTAAACAAAAACTAATGGTTGTCTGTTTTGCATCACTGTTTCTGGTGGATCTGAAGCGTGTAAGCGCAGGGAAAGCCCTGAAGGTGAGGACCGATCATTTTGTATAATGAAGTTTTTTATTAATCACAATCTGATGGGTTGAGCTCGAGATTTCTACCTGCTGATCGGTGTTTTTTCTCCTCGTCTCAGGAGACAGTTTTGTTGTAAACGCGTTCCTCCGTAGAGGGATGGAAGAATGTGAGAGGTACAGCGCGACGGATCACAAGCTGAAGAACATGCAGGTATCAGGCATTTTCTGTCTTTACATCACGTTTATCGTTTAGTTTTTTTTAGTGACAATAAGCCCAACAACAGAATCAGCTGAGTCCTGGTTTTAGTTCAAATTAAATGAGTTGTTTGAGAGTTATCTCAATTTTTAAGAGGAAAACTAATTTGGATTCATTAAAAAT